TAACTCGACCCGTGACCCGTATGGGTTGATAATACGGATTATATACGGATTGCGGGTTGAGATACGTAAACCTTAACTCATTTTTTAAGGGTCGGGTTAAGGTCGGGTTGACGGGTCGGGTGAATTTTTACCAGGTCTACTTGTCATATAATATTTTGCCATCCAAGCAGTCAAGTGAGTGAGTCTTAAACGACAGTTAGGCCAGGCAAGCGAGTCCCAAACGACAGTTAACTTGGTGTAAGAAAAAGGGCTTAATTGCTTTGATCACAGAGTTCAAGGGCTTATATGTATCAATTAAAGCTTAAAAGCTTAATAACGATTCTGAGATTAGTTTAGGGGCTTAACTTATAGTCTTGCCAAACTTAAACACATGGATCCACGAGCATAGGTTTCAATTTTTTTTTATATATATTAAATCTCAATTAATTCAGAATCAGATTACGTTAGACTCTATACAAAAATATTTGTTTCTCCGTCCATAAGACTCAAACTCAAATTTTATTTTTAAAAAATTAAATTTCTTCCACTTAAAATAATAAATCATTTATAACTTTCTATTTTGTTAGTCTGTCTTTTTTACGTGGATGGTAATGGTGACATTTATGCATTGAAAAACCAATGAAAACACAAACACGTGAAGCCAGGCATAAAGGTTTCAACTTTCCAACCATGTTAGTTTTATTTATTTATTTTCTTTTTTTTTAACGGTTTACAATTTGAGAAAGAGAATTAGAGCAGAAGGATATACTTTCTGGAAAGGCATATCACTCTAAAACTACGTGTATGTAGTTTTTCTTTGTGACGAGGGCAATGACGACAAATTCATTATATCTTGGAATATCTGCATCCTAATTAGACGACATCAAATAATGATGCTCCTTCTTAATTTATATAGTAACAATATTAAGAAAAACTTTGTCCTTAAATACATATCTAATCCACAATAATTTTTCAAGAGAATAAATTAGATAAAGTCAAAAATTAGGGACCACTTTTACTTTTTATTTTTTTAAATATGCCCCGTATAATAAGTTAACACCTAAATTAATATATTTTTTAATAATTAATTTATATTTAAAATATAATGATTGATTTTTAATTTATTAATTATCTAATTAAAACTAAAATTTTTTTAATTTGAATCATAAAAGTTTAGATTAAAAGTATATTTATTACTTTTTGTACCATTAATTTATATAGAAAAAATAAAAATTTATTTAAATTTTATTAACCATCTAGTTAAATCATTATAGTGGCATTAGTGTGAAAAAT